ATCTGTAGAGGACAAAATAGGGGGTGTAGTGGGGAGTAAACCATCACCTGTAGAGGACAAAATAGGGGGTGTAGGGAGGAGTAAACCATCATCTGTAGAGGACAAAATAGGAGTTTTAGGGGGAAGCATATCATAGCTTTTTCAAATTTGATCCATAATTCAGTTGAAAATACTTCATATGAGTAAATATTTCAGAGTTCCAAGCTAAATGCAAAAGCCACTTTTACCAGTAATCACAGAAATATGTTAAACAATTCAGTGTTATTACTTGCCACTTTATGTGTTTCCAATGTCAAAGCCAAGGTCATGGTTGCTGTTTATAGAAATATGTCAAACAGTGACACATTGCTGACATTTGCATTTGCACCAGTTGTGCAATAAGATGTAGATTGGGAAATTCTGTTGAACATTCATTGAGTAATTGCCAAGAAGCATGAGTAGCAGAGGAATTGACAGAACTGACTGAACATCCTGCTGATCAAATGGTACTTACTATCCTCCTGGCACAATCCACCATTGACACTCACTTGGCCATCTTGCTGGATCATCAACAGTCCATTTGGGCGTTCTGCGTAGGTGTAGCGGAAGCGTAGATAATGGTTTTCAAAATGGTCATCTGGTACACACGACCTAGTGACCTTGTTCCATACATCCTGAGAATCCACAGGTACCTCCTAAGGTCAAGGCCACGGGTACAATTAATAATTGCAAACAAAATTTGCAGGGTTCAACTCTAACAAAAATTAAGCTAAGCTATACAAACCTCCCAGCTTCTTTGAATATCAATCAAGGGCATTATATAAATGAAGAATGGCTTAATTATTTTTTGTAATGGTAAATGGAAATTTCTTTTTGCAATCCCCCTTTCACAACAGAAATGTACACCTTGAAACTGACAGCAACTCAACTTTAGTTTGAAGCAATATTGGGCCTGTAGGCCTGGCAGGACTACAACTCAGCTTTAGTTTGAGGTAATGTTGGGTCTGTGGCCCTAGCAGGACTACAACTCAGCTTTAGTTTGAGGTAATGTTGGGTCTGTGGCCCTGGCAGGACTACAACTCAGCTTTAGTTTGAGGTAATGTTGGGTCTGTGGCCCTGGCAGGACTACAACTCAGCTTTAGTTTGAGGTAATGTTGGGTCTGTGGCCCTAGCAGGACTACAACTCAGCTTTAGTTTGAGGTAATGTTGGGTCTGTGGCCCTGGCAGGACTACAACTCAGCTTTAGTTTGAGGTAATGTTGGGTCTGTGGCCCTAGCAGGACTACAACTCAGCTTTAGTTTGAGGTAATGTTGGGTCTGTGGCCCTGGCAGGACTACAACTCAGCTTTAGTTTGAGGTAATGTTGGGTCTGTGGCCCTGGCAGGACTACAACTCAGCTTTAGTTTGAGGTAATGTTGGGTCTGTGGCCCTGGCAGGACTACAACTCAGCTTTAGTTTGAGGTAATGTTGGGTCTGTGGCCCTGGCAGGACTACAACTCAGCTTTAGTTTGAGGTAATGTTGGGTCTGTGGCCCTGGCAGGACTACAACTCAGCTTTAGTTTGAGGTAATGTTGGGTCTGTGGCCCTGGCAGGACTACAACTCAGCTTTAGTTTGAGGTAATGTTGGGTCTGTGGCCCTGGCAGGACTACAACTCAGCTTTAGTTTGAGGTAATGTTGGGTCTGTGGCCCTAGCAGGACTACAACTCAGCTTTAGTTTGAGGTAATGTTGGGTCTGTGGCCCTGGCAGGACTACAACTCAGCTTTAGTTTGAGGTAATGTTGGGTCTGTGGCCCTGGCAGGACTACAACTCAGCTTTAGTTTGAGGTAATGTTGGGTCTGTGGCCCTGGCAGGACTACAACTCAGCTTTAGTTTGAGGTAATGTTGGGTCTGTGGCCCTGGCAGGACTACAACTCAGCTTTAGTTTGAGGTAATGTTGGGTCTGTGGCCCTAGCAGGACTACAACTCAGCTTTAGTTTGAGGTAATGTTGGGTCTGTGGCCCTGGCAGGACTACAACTCAGCTTTAGTTTGAGGTAATGTTGGGTCTGTGGCCCTAGCAGGACTACAACTCAGCTTTAGTTTGAGGTAATGTTGGGTCTGTGGCCCTGGCAGGACTACAACTCAGCTTTAGTTTGAGGTAATGTTGGGTCTGTGGCCCTAGCAGGACTACAACTCAGCTTTAGTTTGAGGTAATGTTGGGTCTGTGGCCCTGGCAGGACTACAACTCAGCTTTAGTTTGAGGTAATGTTGGGTCTGTGGCCCTAGCAGGACTACAACTCAGCTTTAGTTTGAGGTAATGTTGGGTCTGTGGCCCTGGCAGGACTACAACTCAGCTTTAGTTTGAGGTAATGTTGGGTCTGTGGCCCTAGCAGGACTACAACTCAGCTTTAGTTTGAGGTAATGTTGGGTCTGTGGCCCTGGCAGGACTACAACTCAGCTTTAGTTTGAGGTAATGTTGGGTCTGTGGCCCTGGCAGGACTACAACTCAGCTTTAGTTTGAGGTAATGTTGGGTCTGTGGCCCTGGCAGGACTACAACTCAGCTTTAGTTTGAGGTAATGTTGGGTCTGTGGCCCTAGCAGGACTACAACTCAGCTTTAGTTTGAGGTAATGTTGGGTCTGTGGCCCTGGCAGGACTACAACTCAGCTTTAGTTTGAGGTAATGTTGGGTCTGTGGCCCTAGCAGGACTACAACTCAGCTTTAGTTTGAGGTAATGTTGGGTCTGTGGCCCTGGCAGGACTACAACTCAGCTTTAGTTTGAGGTAATGTTGGGTCTGTGGCCCTGGCAGGACTACAACTCAGCTTTAGTTTGAGGTAATGTTGGGTCTGTGGCCCTAGCAGGACTACAACTCAGCTTAAGTTTGAGGTAAAGTTGGGTCTGTGGCCCTAGCAGGACTACAACTCAGCTTAAGTTTGAGGTAAAGTTGGGTCTGTGGCCCTGGCAAGACTACAACTCAGCTTTAGTTTGAGGTAATGTTGAGCCTGTGGCCCTGGCAGAACTACAACTCAGCTTTAGTTTGAGGTAATGTTGAGTCTGTGGCCCTAGCAGGACTACAACTCAGCTTTAGTTTGAGGTAATGTTGGGTCTGTGGCCCTGGCAAGACTACAACTCAGCTTTAGTTTGAGGTAATGTTTGGTCTGTGACCCTGGCAGAACTACAACTTATCTTAAGTTTGAGGTTATGTTGAGCCTGTGGCTCACTGGCAGGACTACAATTCAGCTTTAGTTTGAGGCAATGTTGGGTCTGTGGCCCTTGGAGAACTACAACTTGGCTTTAGTTTGAGGCTATGCTGGGCCTGTGGCTCGCTAGCAGAACTACAACATTTCTCCTAACTCACCTCAATATCCACTATTTGTAATTTCTCTTCAGCAAGGTTGTGTTCGAGTAGATAGTCACCTGGGTTGTCAATTACATACGCCATGGTTTAATAGCGGCTGCTAAGCAACTGATAAATTAAAACTGCCCTGAAATATAAAAATTAAAAAAATGCTATTGTTGATGATGTAAAGTGTTTGATGTTATTTCAGATTTGTATTTTAGCCCACAATAAGTAGCTGCTATAAGTGTAACTTAACCTGTCATGGTATTTATGTAGTTCATTGTCTTACAGTGAAGTTGGTTGGGGTATACTGGAATAAGTGTACCGGGATCCAGCAATGCTGCTTATCTCCTCAACCAATCTTAATGAATCTTTGTTGTACACATGCCAGTTGAGTTGTTTCTTCTCAAGAACCAAGAATCATCCTTGGTAGATGAGGCTACAAAATTGTAAAATTGAGATTCCGACCCCAACCCTAGGGGCCAGGGTAGGGCCCCAAAGGGAAAATTAACCAATATTTCAAAAATCTTCTTCTCCAGACTCAGAGGTACTACAGTCATTTTCTCTACATGAAAAGAAAGATCATCAGGGGCTTTACTTAAATTGTAAATTTCAGGACCCCCAAGCTATCCGTTCTCCCTTGGGGAGGGGGTAAAGTTTACTATAGTTTATATAGGGAAATAACACTTTTGGGTATATTTTGACAACTTTCTGTAGGAAATTATTTTTACTTGGTGAGAATTATCCTTGGAGGTAGATGGTTTCAAATTGTAAAATTGAGATTCCTACCCCGACCCCTGGGGCCAGGGCGGGGCCCCAAAGGGAAAATTAATCAATATTTCAAAAATCTTCTTCTCCAGACTCAGAGGTACTACAGTGATTTTCTCTACGTGGAAAGAAAGATCATCAGGGGCTTTATTTAAATTGTAAATTTCAGGACCCCCGAGCTATCCGTTCTCCCTTGGGGAGGGGGGTAAAGTTTACTATAGTTCATATAGGTAAATAACACTTTTGGGTATATTTTATCCATTATCAGCAGAAAATTACTGAAACTTAGTCAGAATCATCTTTGGTGAATGAGGGTATTACATTGTAAAATAAGGAATCCTGCCCAATCCCTAGGGGCTAGGACAGGGCCCCAAAGGGAACATTTACCAATATTTCAAAAATCTACTTCTCCAGACTCAGAGGTACTACAGTCATTTTCTCTGCATGGAAAGAAAGATCATCAGGGACTTCATTTAAATTGTAAATTTCAGGACCCCCGAGCTATCCGTTCTCCCTTGGGGAGGGGGGTAAAGTTTACTATAGTTCATATAGGTAAATAACACTTTTGGGTATATTTTATCCATTATCAGCAGAAAATTACTGAAACTTAGTCAGAATCATCTTTGGTGAATGAGGGTATTACATTGTAAAATTAGGATTCCTGCCCAATCCCCAGGGGCTAGGACAGGGCCCCAAAGGGAACATTTACCAATATTTTCAAATTCTTATCCTTTGACGACATGACAAGTATTGTATTTAACATCCAAACAATAAAATAAAGCTACCAGTACCTATGATATAACTCAGGTGACCGCTAAGGCCCTTGGGCCTCTTGTCTTGGGAGTAATGTCCCTTTTCTGATTTCCTTACCACAGTTAATAAAAATACAGTTTGTCTCAAGTACTCCATGCATAGATACTTCACGCGTGGTTAAACAACCCACATATACTATTATGGGTTATTTTTTAACCTATAATGCATAAGTACCTATGAGCTCTCCTTCTATACCAATATGTATAACACTCTGTAGACAGTCAACACCTGGGGTAGTTGTGCACTTGCAATTTGTTTTAGGTTTTTACTTTTTCAATAAGAGTTATGTCCCATTCTACTCTAACAGAAGCATGGCAGCTAGTGGCTGCTGAAAATTAAGCTTAGCTACTCAAACATCCCAGCTTCTTTAAATATTAATCACATGTAATGTACCTTAAAGTAATTGCACAATTAAGATTTTTATTCCACGCTCACCAATGTTTGCTGCAGATATAGAAATGGGGTCTCTCTGCGTCCATCTGTCCAGTTAAAAATATTGGTCTTGTTAATGAATACCTTACTACAACTGCTACACCTTTGATACTATCATGAATGATGCATCTGGAGCGGCTCTACTGATTGCATGTTGCAGATGCTGAATTTGACCTACATTTCACACATAATTGTTAGCAGTATACAGTAGAAATGGCCCGACTGATAAACAAGGCACATGTCGAGGAAATGTAAACACAGCGGATTTACCCTACACAACACATGTATACATGCATATATATTTGTAAACTGCATTACATTTACAATACATATAAAGTACTGAGAAGTGTATAAACCTCTTTTTTCTATGTATGTCATTTGTGTGAAAACCATGGTTACCACATCAAAAATTACCAAAAAATGCCAAAAATTACTATTTTTAACCCAAAATTTACGTATTTTTTTCCTAAGCTCTGTCTGAAATTAAAGATTACCTACCTGGTTGCAGAATTATCTGGGTCCCAGTAAAGTGGTAAAACTTGATTTTTTGCAATTTTGCGTCGTGTGCTGTTGTCAAACTTTTACCTCCTGTAAAGCTAGCTTTTCATGTGTACGCACCCTTTCGGATTATGGCCAAAATTTTATTCTCGAACCAAAAAAATCTTCTTTCTTTTTTACAAATGTGAAGCTCACATAGCCCACTTCATCATGCTTATACCAATTTTAGTACAGTTTTATTTTTATATTTTTTTTACATATCATTACACAGGGGTTAGCCATGTAAGTCGTGTGCTAGTCGGGGTCAGTAATGGGTCAAGTAGCAATAGCCTAAAGGGTACATGTAACACTACTATTATCAACTGTTACGTGTGTTTACGGCTGCTGTGTTACAAGTCGTGTATTTTGGTGCCCGTGACCAAGGATCGAACGGAACTTCAAGATGTAAACGACCGGAATCTAACCATTATACATCAGAATGGCAGATTCAGAAGAAAGTACAGAAGAAGATGTCCATATGGAGTAAGAGAGAAAAGCTTCAACATGACGGACACGCCCACACTACAAACAAAGTTGGAGCAGAGACATAATTTGGTAAGTGATTTAGTTTTATCTCGACACTGAAGTAATTCTCAATATGGCAAACATTGATGCAAGTTCTGTTTTTCAAGAAATTAATTTACAACTTTCGAGCTTATGTTCTATGGTAGGAGTACAAAATGTCACTCAAATAATTAAACCATTCTCAGGGAAACCAGAGTTATTCAAAACGTGGATTAAAGATATAGAAAAATATGCTAATTCAGTAAACCTAGCAAAAGATAAATTAAACCTGGTAGCACTTCAAACTAGTACAGGAACAACTAGTGACTTTATACATAGGTACTTAAATGTCAATAAAACTACCGATTGGAACTTATTAAAGAAGGAATCAACATCTAGATTTGATGAAGTAACAGACCCTCATCATGCTTGGGTATCATTAAGAAATGTGAAACAAAACGCAGATGAAAATGTGCAAGTTTACGCAGCGAGATTTCTAGAAGAAGCAGAACTAGCTTTAATAGGGCAAGATGATTCAAGAGGACAGGTTATAGGGAGACAATTGATAGGGTTATTTATTGATGGGTTAAAACATGATGCTATCAAAATGAAAGTTATGAGAGAAAACCCTAAAACATTTCAGGCCGCCTATGATTGTGCAGTATCAGAGCAAAATCTTATATTCAGGTTCAAATTAAGGAATGGAAACAATGAAACACGAATAAATAGACAAAAAACAAATGCTTATGACAGGAGAGATTATCAAAATACAAGGGTTAAGTGTTGGGGATGTGAGAAACAGGGACATGTTAAAAAGAATTGTCAAAACACAGTATGTTGGCATTGTGAAAAAGCGGGACACATTAAGAAAAACTGTGGGGAGAAAAACATACAGGGAAACGGAAACACTCCTTTTATAAGTTGGCAGATAGAGGGAGTGGAATAAAAACTAAGATGCCAACAGAGAAGAGAAATAGTAAATCAATGAACAAAAGGAAAAGTAGTCCTAGAAAGAAGGGAGATAAACAAAACAACAAAATACCAAACTATAAGATCGAACTAGCAGGTACCCCCAATTCGTGTAGAATTAAAATTCAAAACCAGAGGCTTAGGGCACTCGTAGATTCCGGAGCGGAAGTGTCATTAATGCATAGGAGGATTTATAAAACTTTGAAACAAAAACCGAAATTGAGTAAGAAAACAATAAGTTTGCAATCTGTTAATGGTAAAAGTATTTACATAGATGGACTTGTAAACATAAAGTTTACTATAGGCAAGGTGGAGTGTTGTCATTCATTCTTTGTTGTATCGGGAATTAACAGGAACATTATTTTGGGCCAAGATTGGTTAGTGAAAAACGGTGTCAGGCTTTACTATGATTTAGGATGTTTGAGGGTGAAGGAAACTTATGTGTCGCTTGAAAATGACATTCATGTAGCTTCTGTTGTAAGACTCGCATCAAAAACCATTATAAAGCCTCAAACAGCGCAAGTGTGCATGGGGAAATTTAAACAGAGTGCATGCTTAGAAAATACTGGGTTATGTGAAATATCTGCTATTGATATGGGTGAAATTGCTAAAGAACCTGGATTAATGGTATCCAGCTCCATAGCTAAACTAAAAAACAACCGTAAAGTGCCCATTTTTATTGTCAATAATACTAACAAAACATTCCAGTTGAGAAAGGGTACTATTATTGCTCAGGTGAATCAATTAGAAGAACTTAGTGTAGGGACCGTTAATGCATGTACTTCTGGAACCCCTCAGGCAAATGACTCTGTAAACATGACAGAAATGAATGTACCTGGAAATAATCGTGGAGAAATTCAAAATTTGATAGCAAACAATAGGGATTTATTTGCAGAAAAGGATATTGAATTAGGTCATACAGATACAGTTAAGATGAAAATTGATACAGGTGACAATAGGCCAATTCGACTTAGACCTTACAGAACACCACTGACCCAGAGAACGGTTATTGACAAGACTGTTGACGAAATGTTACAAGCAGGTATAATTAGTAGATTTAAATCCCCTTGGGCTTTTCCAGTCATAATCGTTGATAAGAAAGATGGAACAAAGAGATTTTGT